CCATGCTGGCTTCCCTGAGTCTTTGCACTCTCCGCTAGCAGAAGTCTGAAGAAAGGGAACAGAACCTGCTCTGTTATTTAACTCTGTTGCTACCTGCAAGGTTGCCACTTAGAGTAGTGTTTTGTCTGTGTGAAAATTGATCCAGTAGATACGGGACTGAAAGTTCCAGCTCATTTCAAATAGGCAACCACCAAGCATTCACCGAAAATTGTATTTTTTAACATCTTTAGAAGTTCTCACCAATAGCAGCCCAATGGATTACACAATGGAACTGCAAGTGATGGACACACATCTAGCTTGCTGGCTTTGTTCTCTGGCTAGTGTTTGCTGACAGATTTGATTTTTTAACTGCTTTTTAAGGGAAGTGCTACTGGACTTAGCTCACTGTTCATAAGTTAATTGGGTTACTGGTGGATTGTTTGATATTATCCCTAAAGAGAGAGAGAGATTGTCAAAATGAGTGTCAACGTATCCCTGTTTTGTTCTAGAAGTGCTTAGATTTTGATACTTCCTGAACTCAAAAGAGCAGCCTGTGTCAGGATATTGCTCTTTACTCTTAGTTATATATTAGATTCTGTTAAGGTACTGCGTCTTTCTGGTATGTGTGGAATATTTCTTGTTTGAAGAGTCTCCCCTGACTTTATCCTATTGAATCTTCAGTGTAGCTTCATGATGACAAAGGTGCCATAAGCATTAGCAGTCCTGGCCACGTTTTAGTCAGCTTCTTTCTCCACCAAGCTGTTGGAGTTGACCTTTTTGGTTATTGCATGGCAGCTTTTGTTTTAGAGAGAAACATCTAAAATTCATATGAAACTATAATGAGTTGATGACATTTGTATATATGGACCATTGCAGCGTGGCAAGCTCAGAGTCTTTCACGCTACAGTACCATGGTAGTTCCAGGAGCTCCTGAAGGATTCCTAAGCTTGCATCTCAGGTATATTCAAATCTCGGCTTGACTTTAAAATGCTCTTGTGCTATACCTACACACTGACAGCTGTGGTCAGAAGCACACCACTGGGATTCAGAGTGTCTGCCAACTTCTTGCCAGCTCTCTGTAATTTTGATTCTCTCATAGGCACGGTCCAGGGTACAGTCATAGGTAAGGTACATTTAGAGAGACAAGGCATGTGCAGAGCTGCTCGCATATCTAATATTAGACTTTTAGATGCTGAAGATGTAGAAAAGGGAGAAAGGTAAGCTTCTAATTGGGAGTGTTTTAAAACATCTTAAAGGGATTTGAGTGAGCACGGGCTATATATTAAACATATTATGTGTAGATTTCTTTTATATAAATGTATTATATGTGCATGTCTGGTTATTTACCTAACTACACATTTAAAATCAATTGTGAAAGTGCAGAAGCTTAGCTCCAATAAAATCAGTGGCAAAGAATAATTTGCAGTTCTGTACGCTTAAATTATATGAAATGAAGTGGAATAGTGTGGCACTGAAGATGCATTACTGAAAGCTATTTTAAAAATGTGTTATTGTAAAGATAAGCACAGGCATTGTTAGAATTCATTATTCTTTGTGTGGGTGTCTCAGAAAATAGGATAGGCACGCAACATGAAACAGTCTTAGGAAAACATTGTGACCTTCATTATTTTGGCTTATACTTTCTCAGGATAAATCTATTTACCTGCTCCCTAGAGGACTGAAATGTTTGGATTGCATTCCAGTGTGATGCTTTTTTTCCTTCAAAGATTCATGTAGTTCGTGAAGAAAGTCTCATCGTATATCACGCAATCCAAAGACCATGACGAGTCCAGAAGGCTCTTTTGCAATGTTGTAATGAAAAGTAGTTAACAGAGGGGAAAAAACAAGTATGACTTGGTCATTGTAGTTCAGCCACCCAACACAAGATTTAGTACAGAGGGAATTTGGGGAGTATGCAGAACTAACGTGCATGCCCATTTTCATCACTCTTGCATGGCCATTTCAGTTTTCAGAAAATTGTGAGCTGCTTGATGTGAATATGTGTGGATGCTCTTCAGTTTCTTTGCAGCATGCAGAGAATATTTGCATGTGAACATCTGCTGGTTTAGCTAAAAGCCATAAAGGTGAATGAATGAATTTCACTGTCAGTGATAAAGCAGGGAAGAAGAAACCATGTGTACTATCAACGGTGTTTGCTGTGTGCCAACCGATAAAAAAGCTCGTCATATGCCATATGCCAACCAATTGGAAACTAAATTTGTGCCATATGCCAAGCAGTTGGAAGCTTTGTTCAGTTTTGATGTGGCTATTCTGAAGCAAATGTGCATGAAAAAACATATGTTTTTTGTCAGCCAAATGTGTGACAGTGCCATTTCCAGACTGTGCCATTCAACTGTGTTAATAAAACTAATATTTGTATTTTTTCGTTGAAGTGTTCCTCATCAGGTGAAAAAAGAATTCTTCCAGAACCCAAAGAAAATTCAACCAAAAGCCACAATCTCCCTCCTTTTTGTTTTTTAAAAGATCTCTTCCTTCCTGGCTCTGTCTAGGCACTGAGTTGTCAATGTCATGCTCAGGTGGGATGCCCATTTTCTGCAGATTCGTTCAAATCCTTATGCGAGTCCAACACTCCAGCTGTGGAAGTATGTATAAAAACAGTGGGCTGGCTCCAGACAGCAAGCGAGGGGGTTTGCCAGGCCACTCTCATGTGCAATGCTGTCGTCGCACAGTATTCATCAGTCTGTTGCTCCTAATGTTCAGCATGCCGTGGACTTGCTTTTTATTTTCTTTCCATAAGGCACTTGAACAACTTTCACGTCGCTCTCGTTTAGAGGGGTGAGCCCAAGACGACTCCGTCATTAAGTGAATCTCTTTCTCCCGTTGTTCTCTCCACCAGTGAGTGCCAGTGAACCCGAACCAGAGACAGAGACAGAACCAGAACCAGACCCAGAGCAGGAGGCTGAGGCTGAGGCCGAGCAGGGAACGGAGACACCCAAGGAAATAGAGGCTACAGAGGTGGGACCAGAGAGTGAGGTGGAGCAAGGACCAGAGAGAGAGCCAGAAGAAAGTGCAATACTCAGTGAAAAAGAGAGGCAGAATGAGGAAGTGAATGAAAAAGACAACTGCTCTGCATCCAGCATATCCTCAGCAAGCAGCACTTTAGAGAGGGAAGAGAGAGAGGACAAGTTAACCAGTGACAATGAAACTGGTAAAGTGAAGCTTTTTCAATAATGAAAGGTTTCTGGTGGAAAAAAAATGTTAAATTAGCAGCTCTGTTGTTGTGTTAATTAGATAACAAAGCCTTTGCGCCTATCTAAGACTTCCATCACCCTGCCCAAATCCGTTTCCATTCTCTGCTTGGAAATCCACAGACTCTGATGGGGTTTCTATGTTTGAGAGACGGTAAGGCCTTGATGAAATGAGGTTTCCTTTGACTCAAGACCATTTTCTTCCCCCAAGATTAATGTATTAACTATTGAATCATCGTGTTGCAAGAACTTGCATCTCTAGCTCCTAGAGAATTTATTTGGGTTTTCTACACATAAACAATGAGAGGAGGGGCCCTGTTGATAAGATTTGTCATGAGATTCCAGATATCTTTTCTCATGCTATTAGCTTTTAGTGGAAGAGGAAGAGCAATGAGGACTTGTGCCTTCCCTCCAGTTTCCTGTCTTCATTAGACTTCAGAAAGCAGAGAGAGATACGTAGGAGCTGCTGAAGATAGGTCTGGGCTGTGGCCATCCTTAGCTCATGTGGAAGAGGCACGTGAAATAGACCTTGTCTGGAAAAGACCAGTTCTGTAGTGACCAGTGGTTCTGGTCAGATATGCCACCAGGCACCTGTAAAGGGTAGCCCAGCCTGGAAGACACCTTAAGAACCAGTTTTCTGCCAGGAGAGATAATGACAACCAGAGCTTGACAGGCAGCCCAGGTAGGGAGTAAAAGGCAGATTCTGACCTTCAATGATTAATTACTCTCTACTTTTTTTAGAGAGAGGTAAAGGAATGTAATGTAATTGGGGCATTTGGTTTCCAAGTCTTCTTAGGGCTGAACAGGGGAGTGCATTATCCTAAGTTTTCTAAATTCTAGATAAGAAAACAAAAATTGCTTCACAGCGTGAAATAGTCTTGCTCTTTCCTGAAAGAAGAGGGATGACACTGAATCACAAGGATTACCTCACAGAGATAAACTGTCAGATTGTGCCGTTCATGTTTAAACCCTATCACTTTTTTTTTCTGCGAAGCATTAAGTTAATTTTATTCTAAATATAAGAGCTATCTTCTTTTCAACCAGCACCAAGATTGAGTTACTTACAATGTTATTGTACTCTTAAAGAATGTAGATGGATATATACGTAGGAAACGGAGGGGAGGTATGACAGATGAAGGGTGTCGTTACACTGTGGCATAGTCCAAGATAGTCCAAGTGCAAGTAAGGGAGAACAGGTTACAGGTTTTTTCCCCTCATCTTGTCTGTTACCAACCTGTTACCACTCTAATGAAAGTGCTTATGTACTTTTTGTTAAAAGCTAAGAAATGTACCCTGTTATCGAAAAATCAACATCTTAAAACTGACCTACGTTACCAGTAGACCAAAGATTCATTAGGTTGTGCTATGTAGGAGGTCTCATGTAGTGAGCTGTTTGCTCTCTAGTAGGTGAGGAGATTCGGAAAGCAAATGAGCACTTTCTCCAGCAGTTCTCACATTCCCAACAAGCAGTTTGCCATTTATGAGGTGGCCCATTGGTTCTGCCCAGATGCATTAAGGACAAAGGAATAAAGCCTTTGGTCCTGGCTCCT